ATTGTGACACCACAGGCACCAGTCGAGCACGGCTTTGTTGGTGCCCGCAGCCGGCGCTCAGAGCTGCTGTAGCCTCTCCGGGAGCAGCAGCACATCCCGCTCTGGGAGCATTGCGCACCTGGATCGCCGTCTTGGCAGCTGGAGGCCACGACCACTGCACAGGGCGACCTCGTCTGCCTTGTGCTTTCTACCCTGTACCCGTCCTTATTCTCGTCCTTGTCCCCTTTGTCACCCTCACCCTTAACCTCGCCCTTGTCCCATTCCTCATCCCTACTTGGCTCCCGGCAGCCCGCCGGGGGCTTCTTGCCCTTCCTGCTGCTGGGAGCTCCAAGCAGGGCCATGCCGTGGCTTCTCAGCAAGAAGCGACAGCAGTCGTCATCCAGCAGCACCAGTGGGCAGCCCTGGGCTGCCACCAGCTCTAGCAGCACCTCCCAGCTCCGGGAGGAGGGGCTGGGCAGGCTGCACCGCGCGGCCGCCCGCGGCGACCTGACCTGGCTGAGGTGCTGGCGCTGGTATGTGAAGGTAGTCGGCATCGACAGGCCAGACCAGGAGATGCGGTGAGTCCTGGGCCACGCTGATGGCACACCTTGGCTGCTCCTGAGCCAAGCTGCAGTAGTCCTGGGCAGCCCTCTCTTAAGGACAAGGCTTGAAAAGTGACATTTGCCCTGTCAGCTGGGAGAGGGAACTCTTGAGCTTTTCACTGCTTGGAGCTGCCGGCCGGGCTCCAGTGCTGTTGCAAACGCGTGTTGTTGACCTGCCGCTTTGCCGTGGTCTCTCTGCAGGGCTGTTCTGCAGCTGCTCAGCTCTCACCTCTTCTCTTCTGCCCTCTGGCTCATCAGCACAGGGTTGCAGCAGCAGCAGAGAGCAGCAGAGAGCAGCTAGCGGGAGGAGCAGAGTCTGGGCAGGGTCCCCAGGGTGCTGGGTAGAGGCACAACTTTGGCTCATCCTTTGCCTGTCTAGGCTAAGAGCGTATGTTTAACTTTCAGGACACCTCTGCATCTCGCTTCGGCCAATGGCCATGCAGATGTCGTTAGATATCTGCTAAGAAAGAACAGCCAGCCCAACCTCGCTGACAGCTTCAAGAAAACAGCCCTGATGAAGGTGTGTGGAATGCCTTATGATCTCGTAGGTGGGGATTAGTGCTGGTGTGTTAACGGGGAGGTGTCTGGCAGGATTCCTTACATCGCTGGGCCATAGAAACATGCATATTGCAATTGGCGTGGCATAGGCCTCTGTTAGCTCATCTTTGAAGATTAGCTTCTGTCCTAGCGTTCAGGAGCTGAGGAAGTTGTGACAGAGGAGGATGGAAAAGTTGGAAGTCTTTCCCTTTTCGTCTGTTGTTCCCAGGCAGTCCAGCAGGAGCAGGAAGAATGTGTTGCTATTCTGCTGGAACACGGTGCCGACCCCAATCTGGCAGACGCTGACGGCAACACTGCCCTTCACCTGGCTGTCCTCTCTAAAAACACAGCTGTAGCAGGGCTGCTACTGGAGCATCATGCCAAGAGTGATGCTCAGAACCAGGTAACCTTGGCATGTGGCTAAAGCTGCTCTTTCCAAGAGCTGCACAGCTTGTCTATGTCTTTCTAATGGCGATTCTTTCTCCTTTTAGTGGGGATTTACCCCCTTCAAACTTGCAGCCTTCCAACAGCATGAGGAGATTCTGGAGTGCCTTCTGAAAAAAGCAGCTGACAGGCCTGCTCAAACCCAATGTGAAAGGTGAGGGCTTTGTCAAAACAGCCCATGGGTCTTCTGGGTAGCCTGCAAGCGTGACCGAGACGAGGGGCGTGACAATGAGCTGGGAAAAAGAAGGAGCAGCCCCGTGGAAGCAGTTCCCCGTGGGACTGGTAAATGTGGGTCTGCACTTGGCTGCTCTCCTACCTCAGGGGCTCTTGTCCTTTGCCCACTGAGGTCTGCAAGAAAGCCTTGTCTGTGGTGCCATCTCCCCACACAGAGCCAGAGCCACGGGGAAACTTGCCAGTAGCTCAGCAACGTGGCTGCTCTGTAGGCCAGGGGGGTTTAAGGCAAGGCAGAGTTGGTGCGTTAAGTGCTCTGAAGGGAAGCGTTGGAAAGAGAAGCAACACTGTCCCAGGGCACACGAGAGGCTCCAACCGCACATAAGGAGAAAACTTCCTGCCATGGAGATGGTCAGGGGGTCGAAGGGCTTGCCCCGGGAGTTTGTGCAGCCGCATCTGTGGGGAATTTGAAGAGCAGTGCAAGGAGCCCTGAACAGCATGGCCTGAACTTGTAGCTGAGGCTGCTTTAGGGAGGCCCCTTGTAAGAGAAATTCTCCAGTGCTTCCATGGACTTGGCTTTGCTTTCACGGAGCTTGTAGGAAAGGGGGAAAGAGCTGTTTTGGGAGCAAGCAGGGGAAAAATGAGGCAGGGTTGGACATGTTTCCGATTAAATTTTGGACGCTTTAGGACTGCTTTTGTGGTTCCTGGAACCCATGAGGCTCACCTGGAGGAAGATAATCTGCACTTGCAGGAGGAGTTGGACAGGGCTGACATGGAGGTATGGAAAGCCTGTCCCCACAGGGAGAAACCTGGGGGTGCCTGTTGCTTCCTATCCATCATGAAAACGGACAAACCAGTATTCTGGCATCCTCTGCTTCCTGCTCAGGGGCTGCTGGGCGCCTCTCTCTGCACCACAGTTCGGGTCTTTCCCACTTCAGAAAACTCCCCGTGCTCCCCTGGTGCAATCCTGGGCTCCTGAGCACATGTGCCAGAGCACTTGGCCTCTGACACTTGCCAGACACCTTCCTTTAGGGAGATGAACTATTTCACTCATCTTTTCCTGGAGTAGCAAGCAAGGGAATACGAGAAGTGTCCCAGGTCACAAAACAGGTCGGAGGGGCAGTGTCTGTGCTTAGAACTGAGCTGTAGGAAAGCAGTGGAGGGATGGGAGAGGCTGCTGTAACAGAGGACAAAGGCATCCAGCTTGTGTTCATTGGGGAGCAGAAGTGAAGCTTTGAAGGGACTTGAATTGATTGCAGTTCTTTGGGCAGAGGGGATGCACACACACATGCAGCACCTGAGTTCTTCCGCAGCAGCTGGCTCCTCTCTGGAAAAGCTCACCTGACAACTGTGCATTCTTCCCGTGATTTTACAGCTGCAGGAGGAGGAAGAAAAGCATCTTCAGTCCGAGCATCCTGTTGGTGACTTGAAGACTGCCTTGGATGACAAGGAAAGAGAAGCAAGAACTTCTTCCCAGAAACTGCAGGACCTCCTGTTGGCATCTTCCGAGACCAATCCGACCGTAAAACAACTGGAAGAAGACGCGCAACAGTAAGAGAGTAACCCAGTGAAGTGAGGGGTCTGTGGCTTTGGGGGACTGGGTGGAAACAAGGGGAGACTCAGTGGGATTTTGAAGGACACTTCTGCTGTGGCTTCTGTTCCTTAGCACAGTTTGTCTGGTATTGACTTTTCTGGGAATAAGACCTGTATTTCTTCTTAAGCTTTGCAAGTGGAAACAGCAGATTGGAAGCCACTGTCCAGCAGCCAAGCGACAGCGCTGAAGCCCTTCCGAGAGACTTGCAAGCCTCTGCCTCAGTAAGCTGGTCCTAAATTTCCCTTTTCGTGACTCTTGAGCCTAGTTGCCTGTTTCTGTGGGGAAACTGTAAGAGGTAGTTTTCCTGGAGAGCCTGGGGAGCTCAGTTTCTGCCTTCTCCTCAGCAGAGGCTGCTCAGAAAGCAGCCTGCTCCTTTGCCCAGCTGCTACAAAAGCCCTGAGGGTATTTGCTGTGCTGGACACTTGAGGAGATCTTAGATTCTAAATGAGGAGTTTCATCCTGAGCTCCAAGGGACCCAGAAGTATTGCTGCCAGAAGTGTCTCTCAAATTCTTAAGTAGGTCTAAAGTTCCTTCTTTCTGTTGGGGAATCTTTCAAGTGTTTTCTAGGCTCGTTTCCAGTAGATGATAAATACAGTTGCCATGGCCACCCCCTTGAGAGCTTTTCCCAGATTTCACTGCCTTTAGATCATGCTGAGTTCCCTTTTCTTTTTTTTCTTGCTGTGTCCAGGGTGGTGAACTTTCCCAGCAGCTGGACATGGAGCCTAGAACAGGCATGCAGCCAGAAGCCCAAAAGCAGGCTTTGCAGGAAGAGCTGTCCACTCTGCTTGGGAAGTGTGAAAAACTGGAGAAGAACCAATGCCAGCTGCAAGAAGAGGTGACAAAACTCCATCATCATTTGGAGACTTTGGGGCTGGATGGCAGCGAAACAGAACAATGGAAAAGAGAGGTGGAAGAAGGAGTTGACCAGGAAATAAGTCCAAAGCACAACACACACTGCTCATGTGCCCCAATATGCTGTCCAGGGACTTCAGTTCCCAGAATGCTTCCCTCCCTATTCTCGGGACACGTCCCCACATCCTGGAATTCTGGCATGGCAGGCCTGGAGCACTCAGTGGGCATTTCTTGAGAGCTGTGGTGGCCCCCACCTGCTTGGGCTAGGATCCCACTTCATCCTGAGCCTCGTTTCATGGAAGTGTGTCCAGAGGCAGCCCGGTCACAGGCTGAAGCAAAAAGCCAGAGCGGGTGATGCGGGAGCTGCTCCAGCGCCTACCACAGCCTCCGGCCCAGTGGGAGCAGCCCGGGCCCTGCCCTGGGGTGCCCTGAGGCGGGGCAGTGCCCACTCCCGCCGGCCGCCCTCACAAGGCCCAGGACACCTCCTTCCCACGAGGCCCAGCAGGGCCGCCCTCACTCCTGTCCCGCCCTGCCCTGTCCCGCCCGGCCTCACCCTGCACCGTGGCCTATGTCACACCCCACGCTGACGTGCTGAGCCTTCCACCAGCCATTGTGACACTACAGGCGCCAGTCAGGCACGTTTTTGTTGGTGCCCGGAGCCGGCGCTCAGAGCTGCTGTAGCCTCTCGG